ATTAAACCCAACTCAGGCTTAGGAAAAGATGAATAGATGAATAGATGAAGAAGATGATGAAGGTGAAGCAGAAGGGAGAACAAAAATGAAAAGTTTAGCTGACATCTATGAGAGGTGCAGCTTTGCTTCAAAAGAACCTTCCTCTGTTGAGGAAGCACTTCAGCAGCAAGAGTGGAAACTTGCTATGGAAGAGGAAATCAGGATGATCGAGAAAAACAATACCTGGTCTCTGGTAAAATCAAGTGCAGACAGAAAGCCTATTAGAGTAAAGTGGGTGTTCAAGGTAAAACTGAATCCGGACGGGACAATAAACAAGCACAAGGCACGGCTTGTGGCAAAGGGGTACTCCCAGCTTCCTGGAATCGACTACACAGAGACTTTTGCCCCTGTGGCCAGATATGAAACAATTAGACTCATTCTGACCATGGCAGCTCAGTTTGGATGGAGTGTGATGCATTTGGATGTGAAATCGGCCTTTTTGAATGGCAAGCTGAATGAATAAATCTATATTGAGCAGCCACCGGGGTTCATTCAGCCTGGAAAGGAGAAACATGTCTATCTTCTTCACAAGGCCTTATACGGCCTCAAACAGGCCCCACGAGCCTGGTATGATAAGTTAAATACATATTTACTTCACTGTGGGTTTGAGAGAAGTATGACAGAAACTACACTGTATGTGAATAGAGATGAAGACAGACTAATCATTGCAGTATATGTTGATGATATACTGGTGACAGGCAGCAACAAAAGAAAGATGATAGAGTTCAAGCTGAAATTGGAAAAGGAATTCGAGATGTCTGATTTTAGGGAGGCTACCTACTTCCTGGGAATGGAGATTCATCAAAGCAACTTGGGTATTTTTCTTTCACAAGGCAAGTATGCCAAAGAAATCCTAAATAAATTCAACATGGATCACTGTAAATCAATATCTACACCACTGGTGTCCAATTTGAAGTTGTCAAAGGACAAGAAAGGTAGCAAAGTTGATGAGGGGAATTATAGAAGTCTGATTGGGAGCCTTCTGTATCTCACGGCTTCTAGACCAGACATTCTGTTTGTAGTGAGTTTGCTTTCAAGGTACATGGCTTCACCGAGGGAATCACACTTACAAGCTGCTAAACATGCGCTGAGGTACTTGAAAAGAACTTGGAACTTTGGTGTTCAATTCAAAGTAAGAGCTGAGGGTGGATTGGTCGGCTACAGTGACAGTGATTGGGTAGGAAGCATGGAAGATGCACGTAGCACAACTGAGTACTTTTTTAAAATAGGCTCCGGTGCTTTCTCATGGGCGTCTAAGAAACAAGATATTGTGGCACAGTCCACTACTGATGCTGAGTATGTAGCTGCAGCTACAACAGCTAACCAAGCAATTTGGTTAAGGAAAGTGTTCGATGATGTAAAGCTGGACAAATAAACACCTACAGTGTTGTATATAGACAACAAGTCTGTAATTGCCATTGCGAAAAATTCTGTAATGCACAGGAGAACTAAACACATCAACGTTAAGTATCATGCTATACGTGAGGCTGAGAGGAATCAAGAAATAAAGCTGATACATTGCTCCACTGATGATCAGCTTGCGGACATTCTAACCAAGGCCCTATCTAAAGCTAAATTTGAGGAATTGCGAGGAAATGTGGGGATTGGTGGAAAAAATCATTAAGGAGGAGTGTTAAATTTAATGTTTTTTTTATCCGTTTAGTTTCAATTTTAGTTCAAATCTACCGTGAGTTGTTTCATGGTAGGATACGAAAACACCATGCAACGTGCATGCATGGATTTCGGGCTTTCTGATTTGATCAGTTAGTGAAATAATC